CAATTTAAATTGTACGGTATTTTACCATTTATAATTGTACCCTATATATTTTGGTCTAAGAACCTTCAGTGAAATACCGGCTTGCATTAAGATATAAGTTATTCAAATCGGACGGGTTTCAAGCAAACGCAAGGTGAACATCCAACATAAAAAAAATTATAAGGTTTTTCTATGATTGAATATCAATAGCTCCAGTATTGTTGACGTTTTTTATATGTTTTAGACTCAAAATAATCAGTCAATTATAGGCTTTAATTTGAGCTATTGATCGTTTGAATCAGTTAAGTTTAAGATACTGTATTACACAATCAAAAATCATAAATTTGATTATTTTTCGGATATGATATTTATTTTAACGCTGCAGTGCAGCATGGGTCCTTTAGTATAGATTGTTTGTTTGATTTGATTTGATTTTTTGATTCCTGTGCGTAGGACGGGCCCACAGCTAGTTAGAATTTGAAAATGCAGGTATGGTGAAGTCATCAGATTGTTCTCACAGTGACATGCAAGGAAATGAAATGAAACGAAGTGAGCAAAGTATTTTGCAAGTACTGTACTTGATGCTTTTGAACAATACATTATTCTGCTTGAAGTTGAAAACCGTGATCAGAATTCCTAGATGGTCTGTTTATCAGCAGGGAGACACGGGTACAGACCCGAATCGGTGGAAGACAATTTACTCAATGTAGATAATCTAGGGAAAGCTGCATGCAAACATATTAGTTGAGATATGAGCTAAAAGAAATATTTTTCTGGAGTTTTACTGCTGTCCCAGGAACGTGATATTAACCTTGAGAAGCTGATGACATACCCATTAGATCCAGGACCATGGGCATTAGCCACTACCGATGGATGCCCAACAAAAACAGAAAAGGCCAAACTGCTCCATGCTTTGGAGAACAAGGGTATATAGTAGACGAACCTTCCAAGATTGAAGAATGTATGTATGTAATTGACGGTATGGCTTACTTTTAGGTTCTTTCTAATATTCCAGAAACCTCTGGTGAACTAGCACAGATTGCCTTCAGCCGTTTTCCGAAATTCAGCAGGATATACTTTATTACGGATACCTATTTAGATATATCTATTAACAAATATCGAAAGGGAGAAGGGGATTTGGAGAAACGTTTTTAATGAGAGGTCCAAAATAAAGATCCCATGGGATTAGAAAAACATCCGCTAATGGTAAAAATAAGAAACAACGGGTTAACCTGCTAAATAATGAATGGTCTCAGCACAAATATGCATAAATTCAAACAAGCTTCAATAGACGTTTCTAGGGTAATGTAAGGTTCTTTTTGGAGATATTTTGAAATTCACCCCCCACTTACAAACAGGGTTGATAAGAGAAACTTATTTTTTTTTTAAAAGGCAACCCATATCAATCGGCACATTATTTTAAAGAGATTTAAAAATAAAGTTAGTGTCGCAAATCCGATTTTCATACGAGGAAAACAAAGTTTTAGACGTTAATTTTACTGGAACCTTACATTCCAGTAAAATTTACGTCAAAAATTTCTCAATAAAATTTATTTAATTTAAATATAATCTCCTAAAATCTCTTTCCTAGAGGTACTCGTTAAATCTAATGTTATTTGGATATATTTAATTGAAAATCAATTCAGGCCAATTTGAAATCCGCATTGCCTGCAGGTTTGCTGCAGCAGGGGTATTTTATTAACTTTTTTTATTTTCATTTGAAGCCTTTGAATACACACTGAAGAAGTCCATAAAAAATATTTCACCAGTAATTAACGTAGGCTACCCTTATGTAATTTTAATAAAACAGTTTTTAAATTTAACAGTTTTTCTTTATTTTCCGAAATACGCTGTAATTAAAAGAGGCAAACAACTGAATTCTTAATCTGGTAGGTAATACCAACAAAAAAAAAGTATAAGTCATAAATTCCCACGGGGGGGGAGGGTTTCATATTGGTGGCTCATGGTCTATTATCGTCTATATTTTAATTTTCACCCATATCTTCCAAATGTTGAAATCTGTTCTCATCTTCAAGTTTATTTTTGTTTACAGAAAACTAATTAAGGCAACGAAATCATATGCCATTGAAAATTAATGGCAAAATAGTGATACAATTTCAAAATCAGCAGGGGGGGGGGGTGTGATAAACAGTAAAACAAACCAGACAACTAAAAACCTGTTCATGGAATAATTAACAGTGGCTATACCACAGAACTTTAAACTGTGCCACACTACCTTAATGATTTTTCGAGTTTCAATTAAAAATGTGACTTCTTTGAGGAATCTGCAGGCAGTGAGGGGTGATGGTCTTATTATGTCTACGGGACTTTTCCTTGCAACAGAGGAGGAAGTTGCAGCTGTCATAAAACAACTTCTGTCGAGGGGAACAACGCATGTTGATTTCTTGTCTGGCTCTTTTAACTGTCAGAGCATATTTTACGCACATTGACGGACGTAGTCAATGCTTCTATCAAGAGTGGGTGTTTCTCTGAAGAACTGAAAAGGGCAAAAGTTATTCCAATCTTCAAAAAAGGGGACCCCTTGATGCCAGCAACTACCGTCCCATACCTGATTAGTTCTATCATGCATGTTTTCGTCAAAATATTGGGAAAGCTGTTCTTGAATTAATTGTTAGAATTCATTAATCATCACAATTTTTTTATTTGATCAATTTGATTTCAGGAGGGAAAATGTGCCGTGGATAAAATTTATAGCCTTACCAGTTAAGTAATTGAGAATCTGCACAAGCAACTCCTGACACCCACCGTCACTGTAGATCTTACTAATGCTTTTGACTGCGTCGACCACAGTATCCTCTTGTCAAAATTAAAACACTACGGGGTCCGAAATGTTCCCTTGCATTGGATAAACTATTGTCTTTTAAACTGAACGCAATAGGAGTAGGTCTCCAATAATCTGTCAAACCCAGCTCTGTTATTGTATGGTGTCCAGCAGGGATCCATTCTTGGCCCAGTTTTATTTTTGATTCACGTTAACAATCTGCCAAAATTATCTGGATCTAGCTAATTGGTTCAGGATGCTGATGATATGACTCTCTGTTGCACTGCAAACAATCTCCCACATCTAAAAATTGAAACTTTTTATTTTTAGAAAAACAATTTATCCGTTTTACAGCACTGTGAACCAAGTCCAGACCAGACATATTAATTAATTAATTATGAAATGAGGGAACTGTCATGAGGAATTCAATTCGCTCTGTTTGGCTCTTCTTCTCACTTCAGCAAGAACTAGTGACATAGTTCACTATAATAATGATATTGTACAGTATTAGAAGTCTTTGAAAAAAACTAATATAATATAAAATGACACTGTTCTAATCTATCATTACCAAACCTAACTTACACAACAGTTAACAATTCTGTTTTATATGGCAAAAGGATGTGTGAGAAAGGTAGGATATTTATGTGGATTCGTGATTGTATTAAGTCCTCCTAAATAGGAACTGATTAGTTAACAATAATCAATGCTCCAGTTGAACTTATACATGCCTTTACGCCTTTACTATCTTTGTTTGTATTGTCTCAGGCTTCTTATATTCGTAGATGGTCCATCAATCCTTATTTTGTTCTTTGTTTACACTTTGCAATAACGGCGACAAAGACAAACCTAGACAAGAATTACAAAAAAATCCTGTATTTAAATTCAAATGATTCTAGTTCATTTTGTTTTTGCCTCCGAAGAGACATACTTGTACCATTGTTTTTAGGTAAAAATCTAGTTTGCGATGATATATAAATTGCCATAGGTTCCCACGGTGACCTTATTATGCATAATTTCCAAGTGCACCAAAACAACACGGTTATAATTCTGTTGAGGTTGTAACGGTCATGGTTGACTCATTTATTCCCATTCTTTTAAATTTATTTTGATCACCGTTGACCAAGGGCTCAATTATAGTAACCACCTTGACAACGTCTGTATGAAGGCATCTGCAGGCTGTTTTGCCTGAAGAGTACAGACAACATTTTTTCCAGAAAATGTTTTCTAATGACCTAATTTATCCTCATCTGTCTTATGGCATTGCACTTTGGGGTGGATGTGCAGAAGCGGACTTCCAAATTTTGTTCTGTGTTCAAAAGAGAGCACTCAGAATTGTTTCTAAATGGAAGGTGCGAGAGTCATGTAGAGCCGTCTTCAGGGAGTTGGGCGTACTGACTCTTACCTCCCTGTATATCCTGGATATCCCTTTCCAAATTCAATGCATATTAACTGAAGGCCAGGATATACACTAATATCCTACATGGGACAGAGAACAATACATGTTAGCTCAAAACAGTTCACGAGCAGCATTAAGCCCTCTCAGACAGGAGTGAGGTTCCTGAACAGGCTCCCTGCAGTTAAGGGAATAGAGGGATGAAATACATTTTATGCTACTTCTAAAAAGGTTTTGGGTTGCCAAGGAATACATCCATTTTGTTTATTGATTTGGTGTTATTTTTCAATGTTAGTGTAACGTTTCTCCGATAATCATTGGTATTACGGATTGCTTAATATGTTATAACCTGTATTTACTACTGTTGACGGATATCATTCAAATATTTAAATTGTTTTTACGGCAGTAAAAATATTATGGTTATCACTATTATTATTATTATTATTATTATTATTACCATATCAGTGTAAATTTATAACACAAACACAAAAAATACATATAATCAAAACTGCATTTTATTTGTTGTAGTTTTTTTTTAAACAATATCATGACCACAAAATTTAAAAAGTTTGATCAAGTATCATTAGACACGATTCAGGGAACAATTAAAACCATTACTAAAATTAAATAAATTTTTTGTAAACACAAAGTTGTACATTTTATACAGTAGTAAAAAAAATACGGCAACGGCTAGTTCATATGGATGTTGTAGTTGATTAAGTCAGCTGATCAGGCAGCCAGCCTATGAGTCACAGTTCACCTGGTGGCAATATCGAATGGTCGTTATGATAGTTTCGATATGACATTCGCTCAGCTCTGAGTCAGTCCAGATTTGTCCAGCAGCAAGTCAAGTGATCGAGACGCAGCGCGATGCCCGGTAGAACTTACTACTTCACCACCGAAGGCCTTAAGGAGGCAGAAGAGCGAAGAACCTCCTGCTCCATGCCCCTCATCTTTATGATGATCCTCCTAGTTGTTGGTGTTATCGGTAAGTGATTCTATTTTATCTAGCATAACTAACTTTTAGATTTTTCAGATAATCTAGCTGCTGATATTCTAGGGTTGCCATGTAGCCAGTTTTCTGTTGCGGTTTCAGCTTTTCACAAATGTCCCGGTGGATTGAAAAGTGCTATTGAGTCAGTTAACTGTTCCAAAGTTGGAAATATTGAAAGAATAATCCTAAAGTCACACTAAAAAATGATGTTAAGATTTAATTTGCACATTCATGATTAATATATAAAACTACAGTAATAAGATACATGATTTATTGAAACGACTATAAATGTTTATCGTAGTAGTAAGACTTGTGACAAATAGACTTTATATAAATGTTTTATTTATAATTAGTTAGTATTCTGTGAAAGACTACAATCTCAACCTCACCTCCCAAAGGAAGGAATATGTCTCTGCTTAGCTCAACCAAAATATGACAACACTGTGATATTTATTTATAAATCAAGTGACTTATCTTTAATTATTTTAAGTTAAAATGTTTCATATTTTGGTTTACTGTATCTCGCAGCTTATTTACGACCCCGAGACTGTGACTTTTAACGGTGGTTAACGATGCGACATACCACTTAGAAAAATATTTTTTGTACTTTTGACAAATTAACTCTTTTTGTATGACAAATTAAAAAAATTCCTAAATCTGAGTCTCGTGGTAACAACCGTACTAATACCGAAGCCAAAACATGTCCATACATTTTATCCTGGCATAAAACCCGTATATTAAGGAGTTGCTCTTAAGTACGTCTTATACAGTGGTTTTTGACAGTATTTACCATTGTTGTTAGATTAATTAAAATTGCTATTTAAAGTTACCACAAAATATTTGTTGAATTTCGATACTTGTAGAAACTACTATACTTACTACTACTTATAATAACACTGTTAAGGTAAAGTATCTTATATTTTGCGTTTTTTGGTTGTTTTAACAGGGTGGTTGAAAAGTAACTTGCACCCCCCTCTTAACTTGTCAATCATTTGAGATATTTGAAATCTGTTTGTGGCAACCTTCTTAAGTATGAAGGGCTACAATAATTATTATAAATTTTGACAATTTTGCCGTTAGGGTTAGTGGGGGTAGGGGGTATCTCAAAATTTTCAAATGACAAGTATAGTCGAGTTTGGTATTATTTTAGAGGTCGTGACGAAACATAAAAATTGACATAAAGAAAACCAAAATCGGCCCACTAATAACAAAATGGCGTCCTAAAACGTTTCAAATCCAAATAACCATGAGGGTGGCTGAAAATTAACTTGCATCCCCTTTAACTTTTTAACTATTTGAGATATTTAAATCGGTTTGCAGCAACTTGTTTGGATATAAAGGGCTACAATGATTATGGTGAGTTTTGAAAATTTTGCCCTTAGGGGTAGCGGTGGTAGGGGGTAGCTCAAAATTTTCAAATAGCAAGTATAGTCGAGTTTGCTATCATTTTACAGGTCTTGACAAAACATAACATTTAACATAAATAAAATAGAAGTCGGGCAATTAATAACAAAATAGCAGCTAAAAATGGTTAAGACACTGGTTATTAAAAGTAATTTTGAACTGCCATTTTTTTATTAATGGTCCGATTTCTATTTTCTTTATGTTAATTATTATGTTTTGTAAAGACCTGCAAAATGATACCAAACTCGACTATACTTGCTGTTTGAAAATTTTGAGTTTCCTACCCCCGCTACCCCTAAGGGCAAAATTTTCAAAATTACCCATAATTATTGTAGCCTTTCATTTCCAAACAATTTGCTGCAAACCGATTTCAAATATCTCAAATAGTTAAAAAGTTAAAGGGGTGCAATTCATTTTTTTGCCATCCTCATGGCTATTTGAATTTGAAACGTTTTAGGGCGCCATTTTGTTATTAGTGGGCCGATTTTGGTTTTCTTTATGTCAATTTTATGTTTCGTCAAGCCCTGTAAAATGATACCAAACTCGACTATACTTGTCATTTGAAAATTTTGAGATACCCCCCACCCCCACTACCCCTAAGGGCAAAATTTTCAAAATTGACCATAATTATTGTAGCCCCTCATACCTAAGAAGGTTGCCGCAAACAGATTTCAAATCTCAAATGGTTGAAAAGTTAAGGGGGGGTACAAGTTACTTTTCAGCCACGCTGTATACTTTCTGGGCTTTAGTGTAAATGCGCGGATAAATATTTGTTGGTTTGCGTCACACTAGTTATCAGGATAGTGTGTCCGTTTGGAATTTCGTCGTACTGTAGTTGTTGAATCAGCTGCAGCTGTGACTTTGAAAACAACTGCACTTTTACATCAGCAAGTAACACTGATAACGACTATTTCGACTAACGTAATATCTACCCAACTTGCTATTCAGCATAGAAAAAAATGTAAATAGGGAATCTTGATTATTTATTTAAATACTACCATGGACTATTGGATACTGAAGTAGACATCCTATCTATATAGAACAGCGGTAACAAACTTTTTTAAACAATCATAGTTGTGTAAGGCAGTCACAGAATGTGCTCCTGCCCAAAATTATATTTTTCTACCTAATGTTTTGCTGCTGACATAGTTGATGGTCATGACAATAAGCTCACAACAAGTCGTTCGACTTTACCAGGTTGACTTTGGTCAAAAGTTCGTGTATTTGACGGAAGTTAGAGGAGTACCTAATTTAGATCAGCCCAATCTGTCAGTGGCTTACATTAAATACGGCAATATAATTAAAAAACTGGCAACAACTTTAACTTAAATCACAGTATTCGATTACTTTGCAGATAGATATTTCCATATAATAAGTGTATAAGCATGTTTGTAGTATGTAGTCTTTTACACTTGTCAAAATGATTTTCATCTTCACCATGCAGGTATCAGAATTTTATTAAAAAACGGATGGATCATTATCGGTTTGGGTATTTTGAAGAAGAGATTTGCTGCATTTACAAAATGTCAATTATAAAAAAAAATAAACTAAAAACGGCACGAATACGAGTCTTTGTAAATTTGATTCTTTACATCAATAATCACATGAAAGGTGTTTACATTTGAAAATTTGGGGCTGCCCCCAAAATACCCCATTTTGGGGACTGGGGCAAAGTTGTAACTTTGATGAAAAAGTGCAATTTCTTATGTTGTAAATATGTGCCGAGTTTGGTTTTCCTACTGCAACGCGTTAAAAAGTTAACTTTCCAGACTTTTGCCTAACCCTGTATTTATTAATTCGAACGAATGGTGCTTTTGGCTTTTGGGGACATTAAAACGAAATAGTAAAGCGGTACTGGGTTTAGGTCATGCCACGAAACTTACGGCAATAGTTTACACCCTAAGTTTAAGTAGAATCATTAAATACTCTGAAGTAGTGCACAGCAAATTCTTATTAAAACATTAAAACAACACAACACAGCAGCAGCTTGGAAACCCAGGCAAGTCCGGTTGCATTGGGGCTTGTCATAATTGCGCTATGTGACAGAGTCAGGTAACAGGGGTAGCATGAACTGCGAGCATGACTTCAGGGGCGTTCCAGAACTGCGTGCATGACTCCAGGGGGTTAGCCAGATACGTTCCAGAACTGTGTGCATGACTCCAGGGGGTTAGCCAGATACGTTCCAGAACTGTGTGCATGACTCCAGGGGGTTAGCCAGATACGTTCCAGAACGGCATGCATGACTCCAGGGAGTTAGCCAGATAGTTCCAGAACTACGTGCATGACTCAAGGGGTTTAGGCAGATACGTTCCAGAACTGCGTGTATGACTCTAGGAGGTTAGCCAAATGTGTTCATGAACTGTGGGCATGACTCCAGGGGGTTATCCAGATGTGACCCAGAACTCTGTGCATGACTCCAGGGGGTTAGCCAGATGGGTTCCAGAACTACGTGCATGACTTCAGAAGGTTAGCCAGATACGTTCCAGAACTGTGTGCACGATTACAGGAGGTTAGCCAGATGTGTTCCAGAACTGCGTGCATGGCTCCAGGGTGTTAGTCCGATACGTTCCAGAACTGCATTCACGACTACAGAAGGTTAGCCAGATGTGTCCCAGAACTGTGTGCATGACTCCAGGGGGTTAGCCAGATGTGTTCCAGAAATGCGTGAATGACTCCAGGAGGTTAGCCAGATACGTTCCAGAACTGCGCGTAAAAGTATATCAGTTGACAGTGTGTAAATTAAGTATGGAAATGAATCTGTATTTCTTAAACCAAATTAGATAGAAATATTCTGTTTGTGGCATTGATTTTTAACAAAGGTTCTGGGATATTTTACATCAAAAATATTTTTAACCCCTCTAACATTGTGGGTGGGGGCAGGTGGTGAGCCTTTTTCAAATAGCTACCCCTATTGAGTGACCTCTCATTTTGAAGGGGCTGTATAAAGAAATACAGGAATGCAAACCCGAGGTAGACATCTAATCCCTAGCCAAAATAGCAGGTATCCCAAAATTTGATTTAGGGTATGTAAACAACTCCAATTTTACAAATATGGAAACAAGTCTTTATTTTTATTTTTACCGAAATATTCTGTTTTTGGCATTGATTGTTAACAAAGGTTCCGAGATCTTTTACATCAAAAATATTTTTAACCCCCCTGACAGGGTGGGTGTGGGCAAGGCGTGGCCTTTTTTGAAATAGCAACCCTTATTGAGTGACCCCTCATTTTGAAGGGTTTGCATAAAGAAATACAATGACACAAACCCAAAGTAGATATCTCACGCCTCATTGTATTAAAAAAAACCCCGTAAAATGAGGGATCACTCAATAGGGGTTGCTATTTGGAAAAATAAGTCATCCCCTACCCATACTCTGTTAGGGGGGTTAAAACATATTTTAAATGTAAAAGCCCGGAACTTTTGTTAACAATCAATGCCATTAACAGAATATTTCTATCTATTTCGGTCAAAAATATACAGACGTGTTTCCATTTGTGAAATTGGCGCTTTTTCACATACCCTAAATCAAATTTTGGAATACCTGCCATTTTGGCTAGGGGTGAGATATCTACCTCGGGTTTGCGTCATTGTGTTTCTTTAGACAAACCCTTCAAAATGAAGAGTCACTCAATAAGGGTAGCATCCCTTATCCTGTTAGGGAAGTTAACATATATTTTTATCTAAATAACGCGGAACCTTTGTTAACAAATTATGCAATGAGCAGAATATTTCTATCTTACATATTTCGGTTTTTAAAATACAGAATTGTATCCATACTTAATTTACACACTGTATAACGTCGTTCATAAGACATTGTTAAACATAAGTCCTTAATTTGATTTCACAATATGGCGATAAGTAAAGTATTTATAATCCCGACTCACTAGTAAATGCTGATATAAACATTTGTGGGTCAACGTCACATCTCTTATCGTTTACTGAGTCAGCTTAGAATTTCATCGTGATCAGTTACCGATGTTTTAAAACAATTGTACCTGTACATCAGCAAAGGAATAAGATAACGGTAATTTTGATAAACTTGAAACCAGCAAAAAAATATTCTTAATACCGATAACTTATTTTTCACCTTATAACTGCTGCTTAGTAAAAGTATAGTTTACCAACGTATTTATGTGGACATTCTTTCTCCCCTCTTTTATATGGAAGAGAGATGTAATTTATAAACTTAGGATTATTTTGAAATTCACTCAAATCCTTTATAGGAAATAGGATGTTTCTGCGAGATTTTATGAAGAATTTAAATTTGTTCTATAAGTAATTCATATTGTGTTAATTTATTAAATTTTTGTGTCGAAGGGATAATTTCAATTATTTTAAAAACAAAAAGTTGCTCAAAGTTTGTCCTGGTAACATAATACACGCACAGTACCACCCGTTAAAATCATGAAATAATAAGTATATCTTAAAATACTCTCTGTTATCATAAAAAGGATATCCATTTTACAGAAAAAAAGTAAAAAAAAAAACTCAATGATATTAATTTTCGTAATAATTATAATAACTCAATAACTATTTTACTGAGCCAAATTTAAAATGTTCATTCCAAGTCAAGAAGTTCGAGCCAAGTCTACATACTAAGACTAACTAACATGTCGAAAATGAAAACTGAAATTAAAACCCATCGAGACTATGTCAGCGAGAAATGATCGGATTCAAAATACGACTTTTGAGTATTTCACGACTTATGAGTAATCAGTCACGAATCAACCAACCTATTTTATATTATACTTGGAGACATAGATCAACTATCCCTTTAGGACATAGAAATGAGGCTTGTATTTTATAATTAATTTACCATATGTAATTCTTTTGAACGTTTAAGTTCTACTATTAACTCATCAAGGTATTGATATGTTGACAGAAGTAAACCTCCCAATCCTATGATAAAGTTTTCGACAATTGAGAGAAATTGGACTTAGTTAAATGGAGCCGCCGACAGAGTGTGCTGCTGTCAATTACTGATATCTGTCAAAATGACAACATTTTAACCCAGCCATACTGGTAGGGTAATTTGTAAAATCCAATATCACATCAACTAACTATCACAGTATCAGAAATGGGGAGAGAAATACAATGTTTGCATAGCAAGCTGCGAGAGACTCGTTCAACTACGTATTTGTAAAAAAATATGATACCGTCTTGATCAGCATTATACTTGTTATTAAATACCTAAAAGTACAAAAATACGTCAAATAGCATTTGTAATAAAATATTTACACTTATACTGTTTACCCAAGAGATGGTATACATACATATAAAATATAGTAAGTGGTGATCGATTTCGATTAGACTTATATCGACTTTTTATGTACCGTATTTACCGTATTCTGAGTAAACAGTATAAATGTACATATATTTATGACAAGTGTTATTTGACGTATTTTTGTACTTTCAGACAAAAAAAATGGTACAGCTATAAATAATCTATTAATAATGTCAATAGTAATAATAAGGTATAAACGATCTTTTTGAGTTTGATAATAATATCGCATGAAATAAGTTTGGAGTATAGTATTCTTTGAAATAAATTACAAAAGCACGAAGCTGTTTTGTCGTCTTCAGAAGATCCACGAGTAAACATACACTCAGGGTTCATACACAAGAGGGAGGCATAATTTACGTCATGTTTCATAGTGTCAAATAAATAGAAAACCAAGAATAATACTTTTTCCAAAATCGCTTCATTAATTCGCCGTTTTGTATTTTTACATAACGATTTTAATCTTTGATTTTCTTCAACCGATATACAGGGTGTTGAAAATGTCTGGACCCAACATTATATCTGGTGAGTGGTTAAAGAAAAACAACTGATATTTTGTGTACGGATATACTATGGTTTTAGCTATCTTTTGGTGCCTTATGAAATTGTTTAACACTTATAGGGGAGGTCCTGTGAAGGATGCAGTAAAAAGTTTTAATGGAAGCCTATGGTAAATGATACATCATTTTAAAGGCAATTTTTTTCTGAGTAAGGAACCACAAGTTTCATCTCAAAAGGACCACCCTAGCAAAAATGGCGACTGTTTGAAGTTTTTGGAAATAATTGAAAGCTTAATTGGTATTTCTGTTAAAAATAAGTTTAGTAAAACGCCATTTTCACTAGGATGGTCCTTTTGAAATGAAACTTGTGGCTCCTTACTCAGAAAAAAATGGCCTTTAAAATGATGTATCATTTACCATAGGCTTCCATTAAAACATTTTACTGCATCCTCCACAGGACGTTCCCTATAAGTGGTAAAAAATTTCATAAGGCACCAAAAGATAGGTAAGTCCATAGTATATCCGTACACAAAATATCAGTTGTTTTTCTTTAACCACGCACTAGATATAATGTTGGTTCCAGAAATTTTCAACACCCTGTATATGAGACTTGGTATGTATGTTAAGAAAGAAGAGATGTTATAGCCTAACAAATTTATCTTGATCCAATGCATAGTTTTTAAATTCGCGTTCATTTAATATTTTTCATTTAATGGCATATTTAATGAAAAATTCAAGAAAACTGTTATTTAGCATTACAATCATCAATAAAACGACACCAAGTTAAAACAGATAAAAAATAAATTAAATTTTATTTTTGAAAATTTAAATTGGATTAACATAAATTTAATTTAAGCATGGGTCGGTCTTACAATATTAAATCAAGGTAAACAATACACTTTTCCTATTTCCAAATTTGTGCCATTTTGGAAAGTGGCGGCCATTTTTAAAAAGATAGAATAAATATTTTTTATGTTTTATGTAAAATGGGCTAACGTACACAATTTTTACTAAATACTATTTTGATTGTTTGTTTGTTTTATGGATCTTATGGGAAAATCACCGTAAAAATATAAATTGAAAAAAGAACACCTGGAGATACCATGGGTTGGTACATACTTACCAAATGTTATCAAAATCGGACCCCAGGTGTGGTCTGTATCTCTCTACACACATCCACAAACACACACACAGGCATCACTTCGAAAACCTCTTTTTTTGGGTTCAGGGGGGCTCAAAACTAATATTTCCACCAAAAAATCTAACATGAAAATTTTGATGAAAAAATACTTATAAATTATGATAACAATACAATCATGATAATATTTTTAAGCAGGAACACAAAATGAACTCATTCCTGTTGGTTCGAGTACTTGATGAAACACGAGAACCGTTTTTGATGACATTTGCTACAAACGTGTAAATCTTCCTTTATTCGAAAAAGTTTACCTACCAACATGTTTTGGATATGAGAACGGGTTTAAATGGAGTAAGAAATTAGCTGTCTCATTTTCGCCCTTTGAACATAGAATTTCCCAATTTCTTTTCCAGCCATTTTGTAGAGCTTAAAACATTTGTATCTTGAATTGTTTTGGTGAGTACGTAAACTGTTATCATTTGCTTGTTTATGGGTATATTTTGATAAAACTTGGTCAATAAATATATATTTAACTAGACTACTAACATAAAAAAGGAAAAATAGCCTTTATTACCTTCTCTGTAGCACTAAGCCGAAACACTTGTTAAACCTAATGTTATTGATATAGGGAATAAATTATACATGTTTTGGGAAATATTAAAGTGAAAATCCAATGAGAATGGCAATTCGCTTGGCCTGCAGGTTTGCTGCGGCATGGGTATGTACATACCTCTTGGGGTATATATTTTTTATTTAGAAATTTCCCATTTTTATATTTGGTTCAGAATGAGTTGAATTAATTTTCGTGGGAGTTTTACCTAACCTGTCAGGTTTTTAATGATAAATCTATTTACTGCTCATCTTTAAAAATCCCTTACCTCTCCATATTCTTACCCTTTCATGGAATAGAAATTAACTAATATTATTTTTTTCAGCAATGGCCAAGAACAGCACCTATTATGAGTGTTATGAGCCGTAAGTAATAGCCAGCCTTAATTTAACTGCACAATACCATTTTCATACAATGCACATTTTGTTTAATGGCATTTTTGTGATCAATGGTTACAGGTGGAATGACAGCGTGGTTTTTGGATTACAGAACTCATACATCTGTTGAGAAACAACAACTAGATTTCATGTAATAAGTATAAGCCCGGAAAATTAGTAATAACTGTGAACTATTTGTATTTTAAAATCACATTAATAAAAGCAGATACCATAGAGTCAAAAACCACATATGGCACCACCTCCCATGTGAAAATAATCAATTTTATTTCACCATGTTTAGCTGAAATGTATTCATCAAGACCTTACTTTACTCTCCTTTGGCAAAGCCTTACACTACTTGAATTTTCCCTGGTGCTTTTTTTACAAACAAGGGTCCATTATATGCAGTAAAATTAGACAATAAGCAGAAATCCTGAAAGTTGCCAGCTATTAACTTAACCACTATCAGCATGCTGAATGTATCGTCCTTATACTTGTCTCATGAGGACCGATATACTTTAAAATACTACCCTAATTGTGGAATTTTGAAATAAAAATATCTATAAATTATCTAACCAATTCCTAAGTCTCGTTCGTATTATTCCTGTAAGTAAATGGATTTTAAAACATGAATTTAAATAGTGTGGCTGTAGTGTGCTGAGTAGCAATAAATGTAAATCATACAACATTCAAAAAAATATTATTTACTAATAAATTATCTCGTGAATAATATTAACGATGTAATTGTTAGTAGAAAAAATGCATTGTCAAACATGTGAATATATGAACAGACACTTGGAAGTGTCGACCTGTAGACCTAAATTCACTCTCGTTCCCATTTCCCATAACCACCTACGAACTGATCCGCGGTCAAAGGGTAGTTCTGGATCATCCAAACTGATCTGGGGTCTTTCAGGTAGAATTTGGGGTTGCTTGAAATATCTAATTCCATCCACAAAACGAAGGGGACAGGTTCTACTCCCCGAAGTCTATGACTTCAAACACTATTCGGTAGCCTTTTATTATTATTGTCTAATATAAATTATTCAAAACTTCTTAACACAATTATCTCAGTGTTTAATATACAAAAAAGTAACTTGCATCCCCCTTAACTTAACCATTTGAGATATTAGAAATCGGTTTGCGGCAAACTTGCGGATAATTTTAAAGTTTTAGCCCTAATGGATAGTGAGAGTAACTAGTAGGTAGATCAAAATATTTAAAGCGAGGTATATTCGACATTCATATAATTTTACAGGTCTTGACGAAACAAACAATCGACATAAATAAAATAGAAATCAGACCACTATTAACAAAATGACAGCTAAAAATTACGTTTAATAACCAGTGTTTTAAACATTTTTAGCTGCCATTTTGTTAGTAGTTGTCTTATTTCTATTTTCTCTATGTCAATTATTTAGTTTCATCAAGACCTGTAAAATTATATTAATGTTGACTATACTTCCCTTTTAAAATCTCTAGCAACTCCCTACCCCCACTCCCCCTAAGAGAAAATTGTATAAATTAACCATCATTATTGAAGCACCTAAAATCTAAGAAGGTTGCCGCAAACTGATATCTCAAATAGTTAAAACGTTATGATGCCATTTTGCTTTTAGTGTACCGAGTTTTTTTATGTTAACTGTTTAGTTTTGTCAAGACCTGTAAAAATTTTGAGCTAAAACCTACCCCTGCACTCTGTATAAACGAAATACTATAACAAATAATATTTCTCAAATTATTTTCTTACGGAACTTGAACTCTTCTGTAAATCCTAATATTTATACGAATTTGAATTATCTATCTGCTTACTTAATACGATAAGGGGTTTCCTGGTTACATACCTTTTATCACCCACCATATTCAACAGATTTTAACAACTGAGGTGTCAGGGTAAAGCTTATTATCTAGCAGAGTGACGAATGACGACTAACAAGAAAATTGTCTTTAGGGCAAACTACTAGCTTTAGATTTTTTTAGAGTTCGTTTTCAAAGATTCAGTAAGGTATGCTGACTAACTTAAAGGTTTAAATGTGAATAGTAGGCCTTTCAGTTGGGTTTTTAGCCACAACCATAGGATACTTTTCTATTCATTTTCTATTCTATTTCTATATTATTTTCTGATTCACTATTGCACTACATTTACTGCATAGCATGCCCAGTGTATAGCTAGTTACAATGTGAAAGAAATAAAACTATAACCAAGCTAGTTAACAATTAACACTTCTACGTCCAAGAATTTTCATAACTATGTCTTTTAAGTGTGAATAAGCAAAATAGGTTTGTTCAGCTGTGCATACTGTAGATTCTTCACGTTGTAATTTATCGTTAATGTTTTAAGTCACGTTTGAAAAACAATTATGAAAATTTGTTGGTAGTAGAAGTCTTATTGTTATATAGTTTTGTTTCCTTTGTACTATTACAAAAATAGTGGTTTGCGTTAACTAATTGGTTTTTCACACTGAAACTAGATTTACACAGAACAAAAGCAGTAGTGTACTGCAATAGGCAAGCCAAAGTTTTCACGGACCTGCCTTATTTCAAAGTAAAAAAATTATTCAAGGCAATATTCTTTCTTTAATAACGCATATCTTAATTTCAGGATGATCCATCACCGGCCACCCGGCAACTCCTCTTTCAATGCCTCAAGTGACTCTTCGGATGAGGGGAGCCCTACCAATGCCAGCTCAGTTTTTGTCAATGTCAATGGAAGTCTGGGTCTATATGATAAGTATCCTCGCCAAGAATTTCTAGATTTTGATTATGTAGAAGAAGATCGCATCATGATGGAAAGTGAGAATAATAACGTGATTGATACGACTGCCAACTCTTCTGGTTTAAACGTGGATTCTGGAGAAAACGCCAACAAGAATGGACTCCACCTTGTGGGTATCATTGGACCCCATTTTGATAAAAACGTAACAGAGAGTCATGTCATCCCTGAAAATCAGAACGCTGCCACCTTTTTCGTAGAAGATGAAACTGACGAAGACTTTGAGAGTTTTTACTTTGAGGACACTTTCTAAATGTCCTTTCGTGAAATCTGCCTCTGCTAAAGTACCGTATTCAACATTTGCCAAGTGTATTGCTTAGTAGTATAGTATGTAGCTTATTAGTTTAGTATAGCTTAGTACTGAACTATATAGTAGTATATAGCGTAGTGCAGCAAAGCAAACTTAGTAGAGGCAGTTCTATTAAAATAGTAAATAACCTATACTTAGATTTAAAAGGATTTAAAATAGTAATCCAACCACTCTGGGGGATTGACCAAGAATTAAAAAAATTATAATCTTTTGCATTTTGTGATTATACTGTCGTTTTTCCTTTTTACTTATTCTTAAATAGTAATCTTAGAAATTACAGTAGTTTTACGACAATGAATTGTTATTTTATTTTAGCAATTTTTTACTACGAATAATCGTATTTTCCAGAGGGGTTTGTATCTACCCAATATATATATATATATATTAATTTTAAATGCTATTCAGTGACAGAGGTTATCTTTTTGGTTTACTACACGTAAATTGTCTTATATATAAATATTATCAATTATTTATTCTTGTAATCACGAAAATAAGAATAAGGCTCATAAAGTTATTTACATTTAATTGGTAATCAGGAGGCTATAACAAGAACATGAAGTCAAATTATTCCAAAGGTTGGTTTTAACCACGTAGGTTTTATTCATACAAAATTATAAAATTACCTGCTATTGATACGTTCATCCAAGAATTAATGAATAGTGGGAGATTTACATTGCGACTAAAGTCAATTCCAAATATAGCGATATGTTTATTTAATTTGGTTGAAGTTTTATCATAAATAGAACATTTAGGGTAAATCTCTAAAAAAACTCAACTACTACGTAAATATTGTTAATGGTCCCAAACTGTTTGAAATTCATTTTGTTAAATAGTTTTCATCATCAGTTTCATCATTCAATCAGTTTCATCAATAGATCATGCGGTTTCCAAGTAATTTTTCGGCGACATTACCAAACTTATTTGGATGATTACTCTCAGTGTCTGTGTTCTTAAACTTTTATTTTTCCTATTATAGATTTTACACTAACCGAATCAGTTTGGATGGATTTCAGTCCATCAAATACCATGTCTAAGCTTTAGAGGAACTCCAGTAAAAGATTTAAAAAAGAAAGACAATATTCTGAATAACGTAAGCACAACAAAGTATCGGTTTACGTTGACAAGTAATCCTTAAGTAACGCCGAAACCAACTCTTTATAAGTAGATCACATCTTTAATTTCGGACACTTTTGAAAAAAAAAAAAAATACAGATTTTAACACAGGTCCAAGCGATTCTCTGAATTTTTGGAACTGTCTCCATACGAACTACAAGCGTAAATTAATCACTTTACATTTAAATCTACGAACAAACTCGCACAATAAAGTGTTAAGGAAATCCCCAATTTGCCAAAGTGCTTTACAAATGAAAGTAATTACAATCCAAGGATTACGAGTGACATGGGTTTGAGTAATAATTAGCCAACAGATTAAATATTAATAACCAACACGTTTGATCAACATTGCTCCTGGTTGCTTCGTTTGGGTTTGTCGTTGTATTGGCGGATCACAAGGTGGACAAAACTTGCTTTATATTATTTTAGGATACTTTATCTTTTAAATAGTAAATGTTTGAGAGTCAAAACTGCAGTGAATTTATTTTGTTATATAAAAATACCTTTGGCACCTTCTTTATAAATACATATACCATTGTTGGCGAAATTCAATAGACGTAAATTAAAAACTGTACTGGAAGATGTGAAATTCTGTTAGACATGTTGTGTGTTATTATAAATATTTCGGTAATTTTTATTAGTTTGCCTTAAGTAGTATATATTAAAAAAATTGAAAAAAGTAACAAAAAAAATAAAAAAATGAGAAAATGTAATAAAAATTATAAAATGAGAAAATGTAATAAAAATTATAAAATGAGAAAATGTAATAAAAATTTAAATAAAAGTTATAAAAAGTAGTAAGGTGTTTTTAATGCATTCTTACATTTACACTCTTAATTTAAATTAATTTAGAATAATAAGAATATTCAGCAATTAGCTATAATACACATTAGTTATTGGTCAAGAACAGTCAATTCATCAAATCAACAATACAACTAACAGAAATGCTGGGATATTCCAAGGTTGGGGTTCAGTGATTTTTTTGTCATGTGAAAAAGACAACCCTAGGGTTTGGGTTGATGAGAAAACACATTCTATACGCAAAACAAGACGAATTGATTTAAATATACAATACGCTTTGAGCATTATGTCAATTACAAAATACTTCAGGTAATCATACTGTAAAATCAACTTTTTTACGATGCGATACACATGTATATTCTATGGTTAGGTACTATAACAAGATTTACAGCTATGATTTTGAATTTTTAATACGTAGAACCACAATTATTTTTAGAAGAGAATGTTCTTTACAACCATTTTTTTATGATAGTGCTTGTAAATATTAACATCCCCCTCATTCTTGGAAGGGCTGCTACCCCAACTCTAACTTTACTAGCCTGATATGGTTAAGTGTAGTAATTTATGATATGTTCAAATGGTCAGACCATTAAACTAACTCAACTCTATGTTACTTGGATATAAAGAATATATCTTCCAACATTTCGGAATACATCTAAACTTACACCACAAACGACCTTATGAAGTGTAGGTGTGTCAGAAAAAATTGTAATAGTTGTTTGTGCAACTAGTAAGCAGAGCAGCACTATTTCAAAGAAGATAAAATGTTAACTCAAATTTGAAAGATATGGAATTATCAATATGAAAAAAATATACATTATATTGGGTCTTCTGTTCTTATCAAAGTAAATAATGAATTTATATAAAAAAAAAACATTTAACACTTAATAGCTCATCCCGAAAATTGACAGACCACTTTATACAGTACTTCTGTTCAGTGTACACAAAACTTATCGTTTATTGTCATAACAACACATAGAGTTCAGTCATATTATGTCACAACGACAAAATCTGACTTCAGTAGTATCAACATTTGATAAAACTTTAATCGAGTTATAACAATGTTTAAAATTAATCGAAAACCTTTTTATCTTTAAACTACATATTCCACTGTGTCAGAATAGATATAATCCATACGAGAAATCCTTTGTAGGTAATAATTCAATTAAAATAAACTTAGAATAAATAAACAAATTTTTTTCAGTCAACAATCAGAGTGAGGAGAATAAAATTTAGGTAAATCAGCTGCTTTGCTAACTAATTCAAGTGCGTAAAATGCAACATTGTATGACAACTGTAGACACACTAATCAATTATACAAATAAAATAATTAATAGCACTAGCCCGAACATTTCTGATTAAGAAGAAATTTTTCTTCTTACTTCAAGTCCCAGAGGGACGCGTCTAGGAAACCACAGCCTAATCCATATCGGCCTTCTGATCTATTCCATGGACAAAACTAGGCACTTCCAAACGTCTTCACCCCGAAGTCTGGCAGCAACGAGTGTTTCAGGTTTTGATCTTTGACGAAAACGAAGAATTGAAGAAATATAACAAATAGGAGACGAGAATAATCTCATCCATGCAGTACAGACTTTGAAGGCCCAGGTACTGCAGGGAGTATACGTAGCCATAAATATTAGTAACAACAATACATGTTCTTTTTAAATAAACAATTTTTATAAAAGTAATCAGAATTAAACTTTTTATTAGCTCCCAAATGGTGGCTATTTATGTGGAAATATTAGAACTCTTCTGAATAACCTGTATTTTTCTTTAAAATTCAGATCCTGTATCTCCATTCTAGTTAAAATGTTAAATTCATAATGAGGTAAGTTTTGATGTACAATATTAGATTATTATAGCAAAACAAAATTTAGAAAACACAATAAAAGTTAATAATTAATTTCAAATACAGTGATGTTACAAGTTAATGTCCATATAAATTTTAAAGCATTACAATTCATAGCAACTAACAAATTCTACGTTGATCCGTAACTATATAATTATCAGACTTATCCACTAAAAACATGTGTTTTATTTACAGGGACTCCCTTAAGTAAACAGCAAACATTCTGGTAAATGGTTCTATCACTCAAAATAAAGAGAAAATCAAGGACAACATGGTAAAAAGAGACCAATACAAAATAAAATTATCTTGATTAAATTTTATCATCTAAAAATGACGGCTATTATAATTTTTTAATTTACATGACTAAAAATGGCTGATTTTATGAAAGATTTCAAAAGTATTTTTATGTAGTATTTACTCCTATCAAATGACACCAAGTTCAAAACATTGAATAAAAATAACTGAAATATCACCATTTTTGGTTGTAAAATGAGACAACCCTTAGCCTATTATTATTATACCCTATTTTAAAACGATAAATCGTTAAATTTCAGCTATCTTTTGTTTGATCTTTTTGAACTTGTCATCGTTTGATAGATAATTTAAAATGTCAAATAAAAGTGTTCCTTAATGTTTCTTTATAAAATCAGCAATTTGTTAAAATTTTAATAAAAAAAAGTATTGTCCTCCATTATGAAATTTTGAATTAGATCAGGAATTTTTTCTAGCATGGATCGTTTCCACCTTAAACACACACTAAGTTTCATAATGATTGGTCGGAAAATTTTTAAGTTAAAAATGTTTATGTGTAAAATACAAAATAACAGATATCTGTTTAACAAATCGATTTCGGAAAGAGTCAAAATCACTTCACTTTCTATTTATGTTCACCCGTAGAACCCTTTTCCGGAGTTTGGCTTTTTACTTTACGGGAAACTCTGTATATAGCGCACGGTAATTGTTAATACTATACAAACATCCATATTAATTAAAATGTGGGATTGATATTAATGCTGTAATATTAACTGCAATATTTTAATTAACTTCTAAAGAAATTCTTACAGAACACATAGGCATGTTTGCCAATAATTTGTTTAATTTACCAAGTTACCAAAAGCAGTTAGACATTAACCTATTGATTACCTGAATCAAACCGGCAAAAAAATCAAGCATTTTAACCAACGTTGACTGCTGGAACTATGGTGCTTGGGTTAGTAGAGACCATCAATATGTCATCCTAAGTTCGTTCACTGGACCTAAA